GCGCGGAAATCCACATCGATGCCCCGATTAGCCTCTGTTTCATAATAATTTCTTGGAAAGCGCGCCAAGCTCCGGAAGGCTGCTAATTATTGATTTGCTGCAACAGAGAGCAGGAAAGGGGCATAGCAATGTATTTTCACAGATGTATGCATGCCTCGATCCTCATGCCACCAATCACGCATCTCGATGCATGATGGCCGAGGGGTCGAATTGTGCAACTCAATATGGAATGAATGCACATGAAAAACACAATGAAACCTAGACTCCATCATGGATAATCCGGAGTGTCGGTGACTGGGAATTGAGACACATTTCGTCACTCGGAGTACGAAACGTACCTCGTTTCCCGTGCCCGGGTTAACTCCTACCCCAAGCACAATGCAATATGCATGAGATGCATGCTATGAAATGGCATACACGATGCACGAGGTAACATGGCATACACAATGCGCTAACATACAATCTAGCATACGCAATGCTATGAAATGAGATGGCATACATAATGCAATATGGGCTTACACCAACACAAGTAGGCCTCAGCCACACTCACATAGGAGGCCATTAGATGAAAATGAGACAACTCGAGATGCGTGCACGCATGCACGCAAATCGAGGACCGACCCTAAGGCACCAAATGCCACTCTAATAAGACATGGCAAGGCATGAAAAATGGCATTCAAACATGCAAGTTTCAGTAGCAAAACATGACCCAAAACAGCCCCGAATCATAGGAATATGGCACCCGATGCATGAAATGGTCCCGAAATGTAAGATTAAGCTCATGGAATGACTTGTAGCTACATCAAGCATGCATTATTTGATCATAACATGTGAAGAAAGATTCAAGGCAGCCTCAAAACAAGCATGTTTACAGTTCTAAGCGAGGCCAAACAGCAAACACAAATAGGGCAAAACTAGCATGCAAAAATAGCCCTAAATGTGAGATAAAGAAGCAACTCACAGCTGCTGACCCCAAACAGATTAGGACCCTTCAACAATGTTGAAGAGGGGCCTAAAACATGATCTTTTACAATTTATGGAAAACCACAAAAACCAGCACAGGTATGGCTAAACTCTCATGCAAGAAATGGGCCAAAAGATGGCCAAAGAAGCAAGTAGTGGTTTCTGTGATTTTCTGCTCTTTGGAGATGATGAATATGAGTCACCTTTTGGTGAGTTTTATAAAGAATATGGAATAATTTATCAAACTACCGCTCCTTACTCACTTCAGCAAAATGGAATTGCTGAAAGGAAAAATAGAACTTTAAAAGAAATGATAAATGTCAAGTTAATAAATTCTAGTTTACCTTAGAACTTGTGGGGGGATGCAATACTTTCTGCTAATTATATACTTAATAAAGTACCCCAAAAGAAAGTGAATCAAACAGCTTATGAAATGTGGCATGGGAGAGTAACCATCCTACAAATACTTAAAAGTGTGAGAGTATTTGGCTAAAGTGGCTATTCTTAGTCCCAAAAAGACTGGCCAAAAGAGAGATATAATGACAAGTAGTAAATGGAGGCCACAAACAGCAATGAGCCCTTCAACAATGTTGAAGAAGGGCTCAAAATAAGCAACTCTTCAGTTTATGATATGCCTCAAAACAGATTATACATAAGCCTAAAATACTACGCAAGAAATAGGCATACAAGAGGGATAATGAAGCAAGTGCAAGATGGGGACCTCAAATGACAAAAGTCCCTTAATGAAACATGAAATAGAGCTCAAAAAAACACTACTTTCATTTATGGCCGGAGCTCAGATATACAAGAAAGAGAGGCTAAGAAATGTTGCAAAAAATGAGCTAGAAAGAGGGAAATGGTAACTCACCCTTGTAAACCAATCTTTAGCAACTTCTTGGACCAAATTTGCTGCCTCCTAGCCTCTGAGAAGACCTCCAAGCTGCTGGAAATGGAAGTGGTGGTGTGGTGCTAGGTGATGGTGTGTAAAAATGGTTAAGAACTTAAGGGGTTTTGAGGTTTAGAGTAGAGAGAGAGAGAAATTTAATGAGAGAGCTCAAAATCAAAATTTTCTAACTCTCTAACACAGCTGGGAGCTGCTGGTTTTATAAGCAAAAGAGTTGGAAAAGAGGGGGAAAAAGGGGGGGAAAACAATTCAAGTTTCCCCCCAAAAAAGGCCAAAAAGTGGGATATAAAGGCAAGTGGTAGCTGCTGGACCCAAATGGCCGAGAGCCCTTCAAGAGGGGCTCAAAACAAGACACTTTGTAGTTTATGACCAAGTCCGAAACAGCTCACAAGTAAGCCTAAAATACCGTGCAAAAATAGGCCTAAAAGAGCGTTAAAGAAGCAAGTGATAGGAGGAGATCTCAAACAGCAAAAGATCCTTAATCAAACATGAAAGGACCTCAAAATATGGCTATCTCGAGTTCGGGTCAGAGCCCAAAAATGTAGAATGAAGGTTCGAGAGCCAAAACACGCAGTTCGGGGCCTCGAAAGTGGGCTGTTAGGCACCGGAAGTTGTGTCCGACTACAAAGTTGGTCTCTCGGAACGCAGTGTCCCTCAAAAGGGAGTAAATAAGATGCATGCCAAAAACTGGAGCAAACGGAGGTGGTTAAACGGTCCCGAACTGAGGCACACGGCCAACGGCTCCGAAAAATCGGAAATCGGACTCCGATGCACGAGGTGACATGGCATTTTGGCTTTTCGAAGGGTATTTTTGTGAATGTGAGCGTGCCAGCAAGGATCAATCAGTCCTTACAGAAATTATAATTGCCAACCAATTATCAGACGATTGTGTTTTAGTTCTTATTAATTAGTATCAATTAATATAAAAATTGATACATTTGCTAAAAATGAATGGAAGTATTATTGTCACAATTATTTTCCATTATAAATTAATTAGTATTAATTAATTGCTTAATTAGTATCAATTAATGGCTTAATTAGTCTCAATTAATACTAAAATTATTAATTAGTATAAATTAATATTAATATTTAATTTTTATTAGTATCAATTAATATTAATAATCAACAATTGTTATTAATTAGTATCAATTAATGGCTTAATTAGTCTCAATTAATACTAAAATTATTAATTAGTATAAATTAATATTAATATTTAATTTTTATTAGTATCAATTAATATTAATAATCAACAATTGTTATTAATTAGTATCAATTAATGGCTTAATTAGTCTCAATTAATACTAAAATTATTAATTAGTATAAATTAATATTAATATTTAATTTTTATTAGTATCAATTAATATTAATAATCAACAATTGTTATTAATTAGTATCAATTAATAATTAATTCAATACAAAAGTATACAATATTAATTTATTAATAATTAACACCAATTAATATTGATTTTTTTAATTAATGTTGATTTTTTTTTTCTTTTTCTTTAGAAATATACAATTTTTTATTTTTTAATTAATATAAAAATATACAACATGAATTTATTAATAATTAATACCAATTAATTTTTCAATTAATATTGATTTTTTTTCTTTTTCTTAGAAGTATACAATTTTTTATTTTTAAATTAATATTAATATTTGAGTATTGATGAGGACATTTAAGTAATTTTAGCCCCCTTGCACCAACTGCACGCTTAATTCAAAAATTTAAGCACCCCCGACCAACTTTTGAGATAAGTTGAGAAATAGTTTGATTTAAGCTATAAGTTGGTTAACTTAAACTGCACCAAACACACTATTTTAACTTAAATTAAGCTAAAAACTGAAATAAGCAGTTTATAAGCTCTACCAAACAGGCCTTATAATAGGTCAAAACCAAGGACATAAATGTCATAACTTGGTGAAACTTTGTGGTGCAATTTCAATTTCTTAAAAAGTTCGTCACAGCAACATAATTCCTCAAATGTTTAGGTAGTGGTTGGGTTTTCTCGTGCAAAGAACCACCCTGCAGTAGTTAAAAAGTTTGAGCTAGATAATTACACAATAAAACTCCTTGATTGATATCTGATTGATACTCCATCCAAAGAGAAAATATTATGAGTAATGCTAGAGACTCTAAATATTCTATCAAAAGTTTTATCAAATGTCTCATATGGGTGTGGGACCCACACAATGTGGGTCCAATGTGGGTCCCATGTGGGTCCTACACCCATGTAAGACATTTGGTAAAACTTTTGGTAAAATTTTTGAGGCTTCTAACATTTTTGAAATATTATTTATCATTGTCACTTTGTTTTATCTTTTAGGTGTATTAATACAGGATTTGTACGATGACAGTTATATGTATGTACAAGGCTCATCATACTTAATAATATAAGTTGTTATACTACATTAAAATTCACATAAAAGATAAAGAATAAATTACAAATACAACTCTTGAGATTTACTTAAAATACAAATCGTTTCCCGTGGTTTAAAAATTTACAAATATCTCAATGTTAGTATTTTTTATTTAACAGAATTAACTAAGAAAATGAAATTCATAATTACCCTCCTACACAATAATAAAATTACCTAAATTATTAATTGAGATATATTTCTAACATCATTAAAAACTGTTAATTGACTTGATGATTTATTAATAAAATGGGCAATTTGTTATGAAAAAAATCTCAGGGGATGGAATGTAATTTTTAAAATTACAGAAGCGATTCGTATTTTAATCAAATCTCAAGGAGTGTATTTGTAATTTATCCAAAGATAAAAGAGTTTTGGAGAACCATTCTCCAAATGTTTCCAAAAGCAAGCAGCTGTTCTCTCTCTCTTCTAAACATCCAGCCACTCCACTATCTGCCAAAGGACATTCACATGTCTTTGTTTGTTGTGAATATAAAAAATTCCTCCAACTCTTCGCTTACAGTTGGTTCACCATCTGTCACTCATTATTCACACCACACACACTCGCACCCAATTCTCAACTGCAGAGAGAGAACTAGATTGCTTGCTAGTTATTGGTGCACAAGCCTAAAGGAAGAACTTTTATCTTCCAGAATTTTGGTTCTTATGGATTCTAAAATTCTTTTTCTACTTTCATCCTTGTTAACTCTATCACTAGCTCAAGAAATTGAACCAGCAACAACAGCCAACCCCCAAATCACTGTTATGGGTATTGTTTACTGTGATATCTGCTCCAACAACACCTTCTCCAGGCACAGCTACTTCTTACCAGGTTCTCAAATTCAAATACCCACTTCTACTTTTGTCATTTGTTTTTATTTTTATATTCATATCTAGGTAGATTGGGTAACATTTGGCATAATTTGCACAAAGTGACTGCTCTTGTGTTCAAATTCACAACCTCACGGTTTGTAGGCTGAGTTTTAATCACTGAACCAATGAGCCCCTTGTTGGGTACAAACCCCATCAAACGGGGAGGTGCTTAGCACAAGGGTAACTGGGCTTTACTGTAATATGGGCATCATGGGTTCATAACACACTCCACATACGGCATACGGGATGACAGAAACTTTGTGCATTGGTCTGCCCTTTTACTTATCTAGGTAGAGAATATAATAGAACCTCATGCTTCTTCACATATTAAATTGTATAAGCAGGTGTGGATGTTAAAATAGACTGCACATTCAAAGCAACTTCTCCACAAACAATTGAACAGATAGCATTCTCGGTCAATAGAACTACAAACCAGTATGGAGTCTATAAGTCGGAAATACCTTCAGTTGATGGAATTGATTGTGCAAGGGATAAAGCAATGGTGTCATCCTGCAGGGCAAGCTTGATGTGGAGCTCATCTTCTTCATGCAACATTCCTGGTCACATAACCACGTCAGATGGGATAGCAGTTAAATCAAGACGATCCAATCTCTGCATTTACAGCCTAAATGCATTGAATTACAGACCATCCAGGAGAGATATTACCTTGTGTAAAAATTAGGAACTGTACTAAAGTTCTTTCCATCTGCCTACTCTGCCTTTTCCAAGTCTCATGCTCTAAGAATAACTACCCACAAAAATTTTCGCGTATGTACAATTTGGTTGCATGAATATGTTGTATTCAAGTTTTTCATTTTACTACAATAAAAATGAAATTTGCAAGCATTATCCAGAAAGCATTGAGGAGAAAGAGAGTTGATTGACACCTATGTTGGTTAACTTTTACATAATTCAAACATAGGGATTAGGAATCTCTCCAATATTGGAACTGTCTAATACAAATTCACTTATTATACAGCTGATTGTACGGTTATAAGGCCTCAAAAGTGCGGAATTTTCAAACAAGTTCTTCTCTGATAGCACATCAGTTTCATCCTCTCTAATTCACAACTCTCTTAATTACTTAAAATTATTAGCAGCGAAAAGTATCATGAAATCCCAGCAATGAGCTCAACCACACAACATAAATAGAAATGCCTAAATAATTTCCTACGATAGATGTGACACCATAAAGATTAAAAATACTCAATAACCATGGTGAGCAAGAGAAGCAAAATACGTCATATTTCAAGAGTATGCAGAATGGTCACTGACATGGTTAGAAACTCCAAAACTATAAGTTCATTTATTTCCCTGTATTATATATGACCAAATAGGATAAAAGGAAAATTCAAGCACAAAAATTGTTACAATGATATACATGATAGACATCTGCTCCACCAATATAAAGATATGCGGGAAGCATTAAAATACATAATTTTTTCCCTATACCTAGCGATAGGGGTATGGCATGGTGAGATTTTTTTTTTTGGGCGATACATATGGCATAGCGAAACTTTCGCTAGAATTATCACAAAAATAGATCACTGCATAGCCACCTAACTCTTGGAAGACTTAAATGCTAACACTCTCTCCTATCCAAAAATTCATGCTTGGCCACACTTGCTTAGACATGCAATTCCCTCTTCCAGGTAATCTTCTCTGCTAATCCAAAACTCCGGTGCATCCTGCACAAGTAATCAAATTTCTCAATGTCCAACTTCATATCAATTCATGTTTTTGTTCCCTATATCTAAAAAATTGCTTTTTGTTAAGAAACTTATTTTTCCTTTATTTTTTCTTTTCTTGCTTTCCTTTTTTGATCTTCATTTCAGTTTGCTTTTCACAAATCTGAAAGCAACAAATGCACTATCCAAATATTGTGGTCTACTTTTAGAAGCATAAGACATGCTTAAAATGGGGGTGAAAAATGCAAGTTGACAGAACACATCACTGAAACCACTGTGTCCTGGTTTGTATGAGAGAGAGAGAGGCAATATTGTACCTTCATAATTCCTGCAAGGACTGCTCCTCCAAGGTACACCATATGCTTTCTTCGCGGTGGATCCTCTATCCGCAACCGTAGTTTCTGTTACAGTAGAAGTAGAAGAAGATCAGAAGAATTGTTCGCTAACATGAAGTGAGAGCCTCATTGTTAAATTGGATGAACAAAATTAAAAAAAACATGATAATTTTTTCTTTTTTCTTCTCCTTCCATACCATAACACATGTAACTTGGGCCTTACCTTCAACCCATCCTTGTTTCCCTTCAGAACAGCTTCAAGATAACGGTCTAAAATTTCTTTCTCCAGGCTGTAGGAAAATAAAAATGAAAAACTTCAAAAACTAAATTTAAAGCTATATCGAGGTATCAGAACTAAAGAGGGCATCTCCTTGGGTTCTTACAAAACTAGATTAGCGATTCATTATTAAAATCACAAAGGCAGAAGACTACTTTAGTTGCAAGACTGTAACACATGTGAACAGATGTTTTCCAAGAGAAGAACATAGAGCAATTAATACCAAGTTTTCAAAAAGTCCAATAAGTTGAAAAATCACTGCAAATATAACTTGTGAGAGATAAATTAATCACCAAGAAGAAAGCAGTGCAATGATTTTATATAATGCAAAAGGGGATTTAAATTTCTTACCGACTAGGCAATCCAGGATACATAGTACTGCCCCCACTTAAAACTATGTGTTGGTACAGCTGTGAAAAATAAAACAAATTAAAAGTTAAAAAAAACAAAATAAATGAAATAAACCCAAATGCATTACAAAGTGTATATTGCACGAGGTAAGGAGTGGCCCTTGGCAAAAGGACCTGCCTCTATAGTTGTAGTGCATATACCCATCAATTTGGATTCTTCAATTGATCATATATACCCATCAATTTACAAAGTGTCTTAGAAAGTTGTACAAACCAACAATTTTAACCTATTCACAATCATCTTGTTAAAGCACATGTGCAGAGGAAGTGTGCCCATATTTTAATTAAGGCAAAAAGATCCATCAACCAGCCCTCATAGCTGTGTATATGTACCAAATAGTAGAAACCCTATCCATGATATGACAATCTGCCACAAGATTTCATCTTTAAAATTTTTTCAGGGAACAAAGACGTATAGAAAGAATATCTTCATCAAACTAGTTAACATATATGTGCCAAGCTATTAAGAATATGTCAAATAAAAGTTAAGAACTACAGGGATTATTTCTTATGAAATGATCTACATACCATCATCCGATTATCAATATCCATTTCTTGAATACAACGAAATACCATGTCAGCCATTCCATCACCTTCGACATCTATGAGTTCCTGCAATAAGAAAGCACTCTTAAACTTTTATTTATTTCGATTTATCAAAACGATATTAGAACTGTGTGACATACTAGCTTGTGAATACAAGCACACTAAAAGGCCTGAAAATCAGCATTCTAGGTGTTGAGAATGCTCCAACAATATCATAGTTTATACTGAATTCCACCAATGAAACTGTCTGATTTAGGTCAAGGTCTATCGTCAATTGAAAATGATTGTTTTATCAGCATACCAAACTGATTATGAACATCTGATGGTCTTTATTATGAAAACTTTATAAGTTGACAAAGATTTTGTTAATACTTAGTAGAAAGCCTGCAAATATACCATCACGTTTCCAAATTCTGAGCTTCAATAGTTCACATTATTAGAACAACATAAATTAATATGGTCAAATATATAAATAGAGACTAAACTCGTGAAAGTCAGCATACCATGTTCAGATGAACAAGAGACATATAAAGAAGAGATAAACTTAAAATTCCCATTTTCTTGAAGATAAGTAACTAATAAGAAAAATAGACTTACAGGAGTAAAAAGAGCCTCCGGAGCTTGGAACCTTTCCGTGCCAACTTTGATGACCCTTCCATCTGGCAGCTGATTAAAGTAATTTTCTTGATAAATTAACAAAACGCACAAACAATTTTAACAAGAAAAAGAATCACCTACGTCAAACATATGGTTTTAATGTCTTAGAAACTAGAAAATGAAGATACCAATGAGAAAAGGTCAAATGATATATATACACGTACAACTGCTAAAGAATGAACTTCAATGCCTGGTTCTCAATGGTGTACCCCGACCTCGGCTTGGTGACAAACTCGTCAATTACCTTCTTGACAGCAGGAAAAGCACATGAAACTATTATAATACAAATTGTTATTTTTTTATTTTTTATATAAGTTACTAATAATGCTTGGAACCTCTCTACTTGGGCCTTCTGTGTGACAATCACACTCACACATAAAAGAATTGAAAATTGAATATTAGGTACAAGATATTAAACAACTACACATACTAACAGAATTAACTTACAGTATAATTCTTAACAAGGATGGTAGTCTCAAGTCCCAATTGATATTCCCTCTTGTAATCATAACTGCAAGGAAACAGATCCAATAAATTGCAAAATTGCAATGAAAAAAATTCCATAAAAGCATACCACACAATGATGTTATTTGGTCACCTTATGTAGCAAAGCTTCTCTTTGATATCCCTAACAGTCTCAAAGTCAGCAGTCCTATTCATCGCATACCTTCAGGAAAGAAGTTTGTATTCCAATCAAAACAAAAGTAATTACTGTGAAGAACAGGTATGGCAAAAATGATACTAATCTTACTGACTATTTAGAAAGATGTTGGCCATACCCTCTACGCAGAAGCAAATCAACAAGATAAGATGTTATGTGCCGTCCAGCTACATTCATTCGTTTTGTAAGATGTGGGAATGAGTAGCCATCAACAACTGGAACCTGGAGAGAAGATTTAGCCATCAGCCAGTGAGACCCAAATAGAAGATTCGAGTAATTATACTCCCCAAGTAGTGATTCCCTATCTAGGGTCACAGCAATAATAGCTCCTCTCACTTACTAATAATTCTATACCAGATTTGTCAACAATATGGAACTAAGAGTCCAATTCTAAATTTATCAAATAGTGAAATGCATTACCAACCAAGTTGATACAGCCAACAAATCTGAGGATGCAAGCACACAACTTCTTGAATTGCTTTGTGCTTACCAACTTCATGGATCACACAAAATGAACATCTTTACATAAAGATTATATGTAGACACTCAATTAAAATATATATATATATACCCATTAAGACTAAGAAGATCATGCAATTAGTCTTACTAAAAGATGAGTCAACTTCAGAGTTGTCAAGAAGCATCCAAGTTAGATGCCACACAATACAAATCATAGGAAAACACTTTAGTCACATTTGAACATCCCATGGAGTGGAATCATTTCATTTTTGTTTTCTATAAATTGGAAGCAACAAATTGACTTTTAGAAAGAAGTCATTGCACAAATCAAAAAGCAAAACCTTAAAAACACAACGATTTAGGAAAGTCCACAAGGACCTATATCATAGAATACCGTACCAAAATTAAATTTCAAATTATATTAGACAATAAGCAGTTACGTGTTATGTGAGGATTTCATTTGCAAGAATGCAGGCAGCCAAAGGTTTAATTGAATAAAAACAGGGGGAAATACAAATAAAAAAGCAAGAAAGACCTCTTGACACTTCAAAATCATTTTACACAAATGGTTCGAATGATTTACCACATGAGTGACACCATCACCAGAGTCAATGACTAGTCCAGTCAGTAAGCCTGCACGAGTTCAAAAATAAATTTTTAGATGAAATCACTCACATGCTGGATATTGCGTATTTGCAGAGGATGTTGATTAACAGCAATAACAATAGTAGAAAGAAATATCTTCAAAAGAGAATTTAAACAGGTTAATAAGTAGATTTGTGTCCGTCATTTCCTTGGACTTTAGACGGAAGTAAAAAATTTGATATAACATCTAAGAGAGGGTTAAAAAAAAAAAAAAAAAGAAGATGATTTGTGAGGTTTGATCTTTTAAACATTTCTATAAGCACCTTGAGCATACAATGTCAAAACAGCTTGGATTTGAATGAAGACACCAGCGAAGTTGTACTTCTCAAACATGGTCTCAACCTGTAATATGAAGTTTTTTCAGATCAAAGGCTGCATATTTTTGTGCATAATTGGATAAATTATTTAAAGAAACTAAATGGAATAAAATTTAAGAAAGGATGATCTCAGACCATTTTTTCACGGTTTTTGGACGGATTAAGAGGTGGGTCTGTAAGTAAAATTTTACATTCTGTTGGATCTATCTGTTAAATGAGAATGTGTAACAACATTAGTTCTGTCATCATGAAACTATTGAAATATCAAAAAACAAACATAAAAACCATGAAACATTAAGGTAGGTTGTTAGGAGGCAAAAGGGTTCACCTTCAACTCATTGAAAAATGCATGGTCCCATACATTACCCATATCATCCCAGTTTTGCACAATACCATTGTTGACTGGATAAGAAACGTCTAACTGATGCCGCAAGTCTAGGCAAGCTTCTCCAACAACAATATCCTACACAAACAAGAGGTATACTTTAAAACTAACAAGCTGAAGTGTAAAGCTATGCAGCCAAGACTAATAATGCAAAAAAGTATTCACTCTGTATACAAATTATAGCATATATAAACCCCCAAGAAACCTAAGATGGTCTCCTTGATAGCAAAAACAGGATAATAGTGTGAAATGTGTATTCACCTGATGTCCATAAGATGAAAAAAAAAAAAAAAATTCTAAGGAGTAGCAAAAATTGGAAAAATAAAAAAGATTACACCCAATTTAGTCTCCACTAGATGAGGACTGAGAGGGGTAGATTGGGTACAAAGCCAATCTTTGGTATAATTTGCACAAAGTGGTTGCCTCAAGTTCAAACCCACTACCTCAAGGTTGATTGGTCAATTTCAAGGATCAAGTTAGCTTCTTTTTTTCTTTTCTTTTTTTATAAGTAATATATTTATGTTATGGTTAGGGTAGTGCTGGTGAGTTTACTCAATGTTTTATAATGTCTTATCGATAGGGGGTATATGCATAACTTAAATTTTTTCTATACATGAGTTGTAGCATGTATGGCTGCCTTTGCAATCTAGGTAAAGTAATGTTGTAATTGTTTGCATATATGTTTTAGTTCAATTTAAATGGATTGTAGAAGTCAAACTGATGCAGCATCTATTGCATGGTTAAACAAGTACAATAGGCTATGGAAGTCCAACACAAAGTTTGAGGGTCCTATGTTCGTCAAGAAGCCTTTTTGATCCAAAGAGAAGTGTCCATGGTAGTGTTTAGCAGTTAAGGGTGTTATGGTAACTTTAGTTTTGCTGGACATGGGTTGTGGGGTTGCCCATGGGTTTTATTTTGGGTCAAGTTATTAAATGGGTACTGAAGTAAAATTAGAAGTCATTAAATTTCCTATTATGATTGAAGTAGAATTGAAAGTCATACTTGGTCTAGAATATTAGTAGTTGCTTAATATTTTTAGCTGAGTAATAGTCCTTATAGAATTAGGAGAGTCTTTAACTTATAAATATATATGTGATCTCAATGATTCAATAGTAGAGTTAATATTGTAAAATTTTGATATTGTGTTTGTGTGATTGGCCTATCCCTTGTGAGGGTGAAACACCTCTCTCTCTCTCTCTCTCTCTCTTCTTCTATCCAGCGAGATTATTGTTTACATCACTGTTCACAGTGCTCAGAACAGCCACCCGACAGCCCCTAAATACTTGCGTTTTCATTTCCAAAACCTTATCATTTTACAAACCCTTAAACTCCTATTTGTAAATATTTTTGCAGCCACAAAATCCCACCAAATCCAGCCTTATAAATCTATTGTTACTGCTGCCAGTATACTTAAACCGGGCTCACTACTTGTAGGAAAGTAATTCCCACTCGTCCTACATCACAAACTCTTAGTTTTGAAATTTGGGAACCACAATCAAAGGTTTGAAATTTCTAGAAATTTGTACCAAGTTATGAAATGCTTCTAGTTCAATGGAGAAGATACTTTATAGAATTTTATAAAGCTCCAATGAGATTGTTTACTGCAACTTTGATATAACAAACAAAAAAAACTGATCCTAAGATTGATGCCTATGGACTCGCTTCCAGGTGTAATGCCTTCTTTCTTCTCTTAATTTTTTACAATTTAAAACCTTTCGAATCCCAAAACCAGATCCGAATGCTCCTTTGTTTGTACTACCAATCACTCCATCAAACAAGCCTATTTGTTTCATCATTTATCCAACAACCTTAGCATCTAGCCAAACCAAAAATGAGCAAATTTACTTTTCTTGTATACAGATCACAGCACCCAAAACAGCCCTGAACTTTCAGTTCCAAATCTCTACCACTTACTTGCCCCATACACCATTATAACCCTCAGAATTTTAGCAACCTTTGGCCACTAAAACTAAATATAATTCAGTCCTAAATAAACTCATTTCCATTGCTCTACATCAATCTTGGTCTCAGTGCTTGTAGGAGAGTGTGTATCTGCCACACCCATCCTAAATCATCACTTGACAATTTAAATTGTTTGGTGGCGTTAGTATGTATATAAGTATTGCACCCATAGTAAAATAAGAGATGATTGGTCCCTGAGATTTTTAAGAAATCATAACCGCTTGGCAAAAAAGTTTTCAAGTCTTCTTGATGAGGAAATAAAATGAGATTTATTTTGCATTGCCAACACAAATAAGTAGAACTAGTAAATGTAAAAACAAAATGTTGTGTTCGTTAATTTTGTCATGTAAGTTACTATATAGGCATATTGTTATCCATAAACAAAAATGTAAAAAATACATATATGCACCTTCAGTTCTTGTTCCATGAGGGATTCTTCATATCGTAGCATCGGCCTTCCTACCACGCAAGGGAACACAGAGGTGGGAAAGTTTTCCCCAGCGAAACCGCACTTGACATACTGCAAATGCAATGAATAAGTTCATTTTCAAGAAGTGAAAAATACTGGTATTCTACATATTGGTGAATTTCCTATATCTCTGTGGTATGTTTGTATGTTTTCATGGAAGTTAAATTGCTAATTCTGTTTAAGAGACATATAATACAAATCTATCATCCAAAGGGGCACTATATTTGAGTCTAGATTTATAATTGAGTCTAGATCTATATTTGAGTCTATACTTAAAATCTTAAAAAAAGAAAGAAACGAAAGAAAAAAAAAATTAAGGATGGGTGGAGGCTGATCATCAAGCGAATAAAAAAAGGCTCCGAAAAATCAAGTTTTATGAAGTCTTGAATTTGATCGAACTAAATAATCGAAAGATTGCAATTAGCTGAACATTTGCTGAGTGAAGAGAAAAACACATTCACATAGAGAAATGCAAATAACAAACCCAGAAAGAAGGAAACAAAAAAAAAAGAAAAAAAAAAGGGAATTGCAAAAATTCGATCAACACAACAGGTTCAGATAAATTAACGGATCGGAGAAAAGAAAGAAAGATTGGAGGAAAGTGAAGAAGATGAGAGAGGAGTGTTGTTACCCCAGTGCCATTGTCGCAGACGACGACATTTCTGTTGTCCATCATCGTCCTCGTCTTTACTCTCTACTCTTGTTGTTGGTTGGAGTTTAAAGTCTCTCACCAAATCGCCATTGCCACTTTCTCTCTTGGACTCTGAAGATGCGTGAAGTAACAGAAAGGAGAAGGACTCTTTCTGCAGTTGTTAATATGTCTCGTCAATTGCTAGGTTTGCTCGGATCAGATGAATCAACACAATGGCCTCCTTTGGTAAGTTTTTTAATAACTTGTTTTAGTTTTCGGTTATTTTAATAATTAAAATTTTTGTGATATTTGAATTTTTTTAATTAGATGTAATACTTGTGAGATAAAAAATAAATGAATGTAAATTTAGGTCAAGTTTGGGAAGACTAAATAAGTGTACTTTTTGATTTTTTATGAAATATAGGTTGGATTTGGGTTGGATTTGGAGTGAGTGTTAGAGAAGTGATGTGACTTAAATAAGATGATGTGACTTAAATAGGATAGTGACTTTTTGACTTTTTAGATTTTTTGGAGGATGCCAAACTTGGCCTTAATGTGACGTTTAACATTTTTTGTCTTATTATAAATTTTAGACTAAAAAAAAACTGTAAACCTGTAAAAAATAAATTGATGTATATTATTGTTTGATGTATATTCCAATTACAAGGATTACTATTATATAGGAGTGTGTTTGGGAGTAGGTGGAGAGTAGGTGAAGTGGAGGTGGTAGTGGTGTAGTGGGTTAGGTTTAGTGGAGTATGTGAGGTGGTAGTGGTGGTAGGTTTATGGTAAATTCTAACAGCCCCGCAAACTCAAGGAGGATAGAAACTAACCAACTTGAGTTTGAAGAGAGGAACAAAACAAGAAAATACATAAAAATAAAAAAGGATAGGAGACACTATATGGTCGTGTCAGACCGTTGGTGAAGACACCGGATGGTGGTGTCATAACGTTGTAGAGGACAGTTTATGGGGTCATGTCGGACCGTTGTAGAAGACAATGTTGTGACAGTTTACGGAGTCTTGCTGGACCCTTGTAGAAACTAACCGGAATCAATGTCGGGACAGTTTACAGAGTCTTGTCAGACCCCTAAAGTAGTTTTTTTATCAATTAATGCTTCTACATATGGACGATACTCTCCCATTACACAAAGTACTGAATGAGCAAGTTTATTTCCAAAACTATCTGTCTAATCTTGTCACGACCCTATCCCGCGCCCTAGTAGAATGGTGCCATGAAGGCCAGTAATCCGAGATTACCAAAGGCCAACTTACAAAGATTCACACACAATCAGAGTATACATATGGGGCTTACATCTGCGGAAGCAATAAATTTAAATCTAAATAGCCCCTAAGAGTTGTGCATAGATAAAATGAAATGACATACAACTTAACATGGCTTTACAACTTGGATACAAATAAAATAAAGTATATATTACATCTTGATCAAAAGGCTTCTCAAGCCGACATGTACAAAAAACATGTAATACAAAGTTAAAAAGCATAATCTTCAAGATGCTAGCAAAACATGAATCCGAAAACATCTTGCAAATAATCATCTAGGCGCCACCGCCTTCTTGCTCGTCACCTACATATATATAAAGAGAGGGTGAGCTTGGATACTTAGTGAATAATATTAGTAATAAAGGTTTAAATGAATAATATCCGAGATCTTTATCAAACAATACATGTCATAGCTTGTACAAAATCAAAGGATGAACCAAGTTCATCTATCTAGTCTTTCAAAACTTCAAGGGATGCTTATTAGCATCAATATAATACAAGGGATGACATTCTGGACAAACCCACGCGGAAAACCATCGGTGGCAAGACAAAGGAGATATCTCAAACAAACGCGCTAGTTGCATTATAGTACCCTAACACTAAGGACTTTCCAAGACAAACGCGCTAGTTGCATTATAGTCCCCTAGCACTAAGGACTTTCCAAGACTGTCATCAAAACGAACATAATACTTAATACAAAAATTAGGGATAATCATTCATGCTTGAACAAACACTTTTCCAAAACGAAACAAGCAAAGTTTTATCAAACGTTAGAGCATAGCTTTATTAAAAATACCACTCACATAACTCTTCGGGTGCGGGGATTTCAAGCAAGGATCCAAGGCGTACAAGTACATAATAAATCTCATTGAATGCATTTCAAGAAGACTAGAAGAGAGGTTCAAAGATAGATATGAAATGCATTCCTAAAACAAGCTTTGCATAAGTGTAAATGATCTCGGCATTTCTTTCAAAACTAAGTCAAGACAAAGCAAAACATGTGCGGAGAGTTAAAACACTGTTTCCCATCTCGGGAAAACATGCTGGGTACCAACCAGGTCTTGGCCGAGGTCCCACACCTCTTGGCCGAGGTATGGTCCCGACGACCACATTCAGGGAGACGGAGTTTAGAAATTCTGGGTTTCTTTTTGAAGAACATGAATGCTAAAATCATAACTTCTTTATTCAAAATCTGAGATTTCATGAGATGAGTTTGAAAACATAGACCTGGGTACCCATACTTAAAGATCTTGTAAAATAAACACAAAAACATGGATCTTGATACAAACTTTCGGATCAAAACATGGTTTTATTTCAATAACACAGGAACGTCATTTTCTCTTTCTAAAACAAGTTTTAAATCAATGCATGGCTCATGAATCATGCTAGATCATGCAATGCGATCATATGAACATAAAGAATAACAAGAGTAGATCAAGAATCTAACCTCACAACACGAATCTAAAGGTTCAAGGTGTGAAGATCAAGCTTGAAAATCTATTCTCACTCTAAAAACTCTTCTCCCTCTCTTCCTAGAGCTTCTCTCCCTTCTAAGACAAAGATATAACAAATGATATGTTTTCTCACTCTACCGGCTGACTTAACCCTCTGCTGGGGCACGTGGCAACGACTTGTTGGTTCTCCTCAAAGAGGTGACTAACTAACAAGACAAGAACATGACAAAGTGTGTACAACAAGTAAGGTGACAAGGGTACTCTAACAAGGTAAGGACCTCGGGTCAAGACATAGGTTTCGGCAAGTAAGGTCTCAATGATCTCGGCCAGAAAGGATAACACTTGGCCCAGCTGTGCCACAGCTCGGCCTAGATGTGCCACACATCGGTCTAGGTCATTCCAGTCCCAGAACAAGATCACTAGGTGCAAGGTTCAAGGATGTCGGATGCCTAGATGATAACATCTCGGTCAAGACGCCAGGGTGAAGATGGAGGTCAACCAAAGTGGTTCCAAGATGGTCCTAGGTGTAAGAAGTTCAAAGGTGACCTCGGCTTAAGACAAACTAAGCAAGGAACAAAGCATGCAATCAACACTTAGATAAAACAAATCAAGGTCTGCAGATGCAAGTTTAAGCAAGACAAAGATCATGCAAATGCATGCATGCATGACTGAGACAAGGTGAGGGTTGTTACATCCTACCCCCGTTAAATAAGTTTGGTCCCCAAACTTAAGTTACCTTGTCCCACAAACAACTCCGGATGTTGGATTTTCATTTCTTCTTACATTTCCCATGTAGCATCCTTTCCATAATGCTCTTTCCATTCAACCTTCACCATTGGTATCGACTTGTTCCTCAACAGTTTCACTAGCCTATCAAGAATCCGCATTGGCTTTTCCTCATAACCTAAATCTTCATTAATCACAATCTCGAAATGATCAATCACATGCAATGGATCCCGAATATACTTCCTCAACATCGAAATATGAAACACATTGTGGACTTGACTTAGTTCTGGCAGCAAAGCAAGTCTGTAAGCAACGGGGTTAACTTTCTCAAGAATTTCAAATGGTCCAATATAATGAGGTGCTAATTTACCTTTCTTCCCAAATCTTGAAACTCCTTTCATCGGCGAACTCTTCAAGAACACATGATCCCCAACTTCAAATTCTAACTCTCTTCTCCTCTGGTTGGCGTAACTCTTTTGTTGACTCTGAGCAGTTCTAATTCTTTGCTGGATATGTTCAATCTTCTCAGTTGTCACTTGAACCAGTTCGGGACCAATTAAAGCTTTGTCTTCTACTTTGGTCTAACATATCGGCGATCTGCACTTCCTTCCATCCAAAGCTTCATACGGCGCCATGCCAATGCTAGCTTGATAACTGTTGTTGTAGGCAAATTCCACTAATGGCAAATGCTTTTCCCAACTTCCCTTGAAGTCCAAATACATATAACCTGAGCATATCTTCAAGTGTCTGAATCGTGCTTTCTGTTTGCCTATCGGTCTGGGGATGAAAAGCTGTGCTAATCCTTAATTTGGCTCCCAAGGCTCTTTGTAGACTCTGCCAAAATCTAGAAACAAACTTCGGATCTCGGTCTGACACGATAGACATCGGCGTTCCATGAAGTCTAACAATCTCATTCATATATAACAAGGCAAGTCGATCAGCATTAAATGTAGTCTTAATAGGCAAGAAGTGTGCTGACTTGGTTAATCTGTCAACTATAACCCAAATCGAATCCATACCCTTTTGTGTCCTCGGCAAACCAATCACAAAATCCATGGAGATGTGTTCCCATTTCCACTTAGGAATTGATAATGGTTGAAGAAGTCCTGCTGGCCTTTGATGCTTTGCTTTCACTTGTTGACAATATAGACACTGAGATACAAACTCGGCTATTTCTCTTTTCATATTTGGCCACCAAAAAGTTTACTTCACATCTTGGTGCATCTTGGTATTTCCTGGATGAATGGCAAATCTGGAACTATGGGATTCCTGCAAAATTCTCCTTTTCAACTCCGGGATGTCGGCCATGCACAATCGCCCTTCAAACTTTAGTACCTGATTCTCAATGGTGTACCCCGACCTCGGCTTGGTGACAAACTCGTCAATTACCTTCTTGAAGAATTTATCCTCTCTCTGTCTTGTCCTCATTTCATCCATAATAGTCGGCTCCACTGAAATCATTGCCAAACATGCCAAATTCCCAACTAACTTCCTGCTCAACGCGTCGGCCACTGAGTTCGCTTTACCCGGATGGTACTGAATCTACATATCGTAGTCTTTCAATAACTCAAGCCATCTTCTCTGTCTCATATGCAATTCCTTCTGAGTGAACAAGTATTTTAGGCTCTTGTGATCTGTGAAAACTTGGCAAGAGGCTCCATACAAGTAATGACGTCAAATTTTCAAGGCGAATACTACGGCTGCTAGTTCCAAATCATGGATGGGATAATTCTTTTCATGGGGCTTCAACTGGCGAGATGCATAGGCTATA